GATTAACAAGTAAGTAAAATAGAAATCTAGCAAATGTATATTAACTTTTTCTAATTAATTGTGAACTCAACGTATATTAATTAAAGTTTCAAACTTTGAATGCTAAATGATAATAGCATTGTTAATTATCACTAAAATCTAAATGTGTTAATATAACAAATAAATATATAAAAATTCCAAAGACGAGTGTACAATTCCTTTTCTTAAGAACCGAACCCATTAAAACCTTTCAGCCCAAATAACTCAAGCCCAGCCCAATTTAAGATTGGCCCAAATCAAGTAAGCCCGGTTCGTGATTCTTATATCACCCCCCCCCCCCCCCCCCCAAAAAGCACCAAACGGTGCCGTTTCATCGTGCTGAATCCTCTTTCGTTTCCTCCTGTTTGAATACTCCTTTACTGGTGAAGAAACCACAGAGCTGATCTCTTGTCTGTCACTTCATGTTTCGATTCCCCTTGCACCAGGGAACCAGAACTTTGGGAAGATAAACAGAGAAGCAGAGGCTGACCTGAGCAGCATGAGAGAGGCAGAAAGCGTAGGGCGGAGAAGAGATTGACAATGAAGCAGATTGTCTACCAAAAGAATGCTTCGAGGCGCTCCGAAAGAGGCAGAGGAGAAGCTTCAGGGACGGAAGACCAAGTTTGGAGGATTAAACGAGCAGAAGGAGGGGCTTAGTAGGGAGGCTTCAAGAGAATGATGGCGACACGGCCAGAAATCAGGGGAGGGGAAGCATCAAGGAGCAGAGGGAAAATAGGGCATAGACTTTTCTTTTGTTTCTTTCTTTTATATTGCTAGAAATTGAAAGAGTTGGGAATTCTAGGGATTTCGGTTTGAAAGAGAGGTTAAGATAAGAAGAGGGAAGAGGGAAAGCAGCTCGAGAGGTGAGAGGGAGTTTTCAAGAGAAGTTTGTGGGGTTTGACAAAGAGAAATTTAGAGGGCAGAGCGCGAAAAGAGAAGAGGCTGGCGTTTGAGAGAATACAAAAGGGGCTGTAGAATCTGGGGAAGCACTCTGTTCTCAGTTTATGTGAAGGTAAATTTCTACCTTCACGTTCATTGTATAAATCATATTTTCTATCAATAATCGATGTTTTCAGTACTTCTTATTTTGGCATTTAATTCCCATATTTAACATTCTGTTTGTTCTTTAATTCTCTTGGTGACAGTCGGTATTGTCTGGTTAATTCAGAGAGATGGTTAGGCGTTGGATTGTTGTAAATATAGAGTGTATGAAGGCTGCTCATAATGTGCTCTATAGAATGCTTCAAAAAGTCCTTATTTGCATGTTCAGTTTTCTCTGGTAGGTTATGTGAATTCTACGAAGTCCTCCCTGGTAAAGAATGCATATCTTCATTTCATGAGCAAAAGCTTCTCTTTTACTGCTAGTTTCTTTGTTTCTATTGCTTTGCTATACTATTTGGGTTGATTGGAGTTAGTATATCTATTTAATTTTATTTCTCCATAACAAACTTATATGCAGTGGTATTTAGTGAAGAATGCTGACAAGAATTTGTCTATTTAGGAATTGATATGTGAACATGGTCAAATGGTTCGTCTTTCATTTCCCTTATTTTCCTTTTTGTCATGGCTAATGTGATGCTTATTTCATATTTACCATAAAGGGGATTAAAAAGATAACCATGATTTATGTATGCAGTCTGTTTGGTTTTGATTCCTCGCGTACATTTTAATGTTATGTGCTTGAGAAAGTTGCCAAATAGTTGCCCCCAAGAAACCCGTGGATTGGATAACAAAATTGCAGCATCTCAAATGTAACCAGGTTCCCTTATTTGTAACGATGTATGATGCAGGATAAGAAAATATTATTTTGAAACAAAGTTTCAATTAAAGATTTTTTTAGCAACTACGATATGGTATTTTTAAGTTATCTAGGTTTATTAGGTATTATAATATTTTAGTCTATTTAGATAGATTTAAGTAGTGTAGGAATTAGAATTTGTTGAATTTCTTCTCTTATAATTTTTCGTATTAGTTATAATTAATACGTATGTAAGGGCTAGTAGCTAGCATCAAGTGTGAAGCGTGTAACCATCTTTTACTCTGGTGCCCTTTCACTTCTAATATGTGGTCTATGGTTTTTGGTCTGCTCGGTATCTCATGGGTCACGGCTGGCTCTGTTTCTAATGAAATTTTACCCTGGAAAATGTTAGTCAGCAAGAGAAGACAGCTCAGTTTAATTCCTCTCACCATCTTCTGTATTATTTGGCAAGAAAGGAATAGCAGAACTTTTGAAGGAAAAGAATCTGATTTTGTCTCTATCAAGGATTAATGGTTCCATGAATTTGGTCCCATAATTCTGGGGCACTCCCTTGATAGTATTGAAGATTTTGGCTCCATTATAGATTTTCTTATTGATCTAGAAATCTTTGCACATGGTGGTGCTCCCTTGGCGCCTTCTAATTAATACATCTCGTACTTTTATTTCAAAAAAGATAAAGACTAGTAGCTAGCAACAAAAAAGAATAAATAATCTTGAATTAAAAATTTTTGTTAGGATTTGATTTTCTTTTACCTCAATGTGTACTTGTTTTTCTATTACTTTGTTTAACATATCTCATTCATTATATTTTTTTCCTATATTTTTCCTCTTTGATCCCTAAATTCTTCTTACCTATTTTTTTTCCTATTATTTTATTTAACATATCTCATTCATTCTAATTTCCCCTATATTTGTCCACTTCGATCACTAAATTCTTCTTACCTAAATTTCTTTATTTCTAAATTATTTGGAAAAAGAGTTAGTTTAATGTACTTGTCATGCATCGGTTAGTATCAAAACCCAAGTTCTACCTGCCTTCAGCCATTTTTACACTGCATAAAAAACATAAAAGAAGCATTCTAAAAGTTCTCACCACTTCTCACAAAAAAGGAGTTTCTATCATAAAAAATTAAGGATTGAACCAAACAAAGGGTTGTACATCCTGCCCTCTCTCAGATCACTGACAATTGCCAGAATGTGGCTTACACCGCCCCTACCATTAGAACTAGATATTCTTTGACTTCATCATTACAAAATTCAGCATTTATATTGTCGAAAAATGTTTCACTTGCCATAGGAACTGAAAACCACAATTGCCCTACTAGATCTTGCCTTTCCAGGCACCATAAACAACTACATCAAACAATCCTGAAGCTCTGTTGACAGATGAGTCTTCCATGAGAAGGCGAATCCTCATCAGTAGACTGGATACACACGTGACTCTCTTGTGCTCCTAGACGTGTGTGGACATCTATATTATCTGCTATGTTTTAACCAATTTAGCTCCTTCAGACTAGTCCTAGACTGGTTCAGACCAATTCGTAAAATTTTCCAGTGTGTTCTTCATATTTTTGAGATCATGTTGGCAAGATTCACAACTTACAGCACTTTTGGAGCATATCAACTTTAACTCTACATCAAATCCAATAATCTTTGTTACAGTTCATCATATAATCGACATGTATTGTGCTAAGTCTTTAGTCCTATTGATGCACAGAAGGCACTGAGGTACACATACAGTTAGTTTGTATTTAATATCAATGTATTGTAACTACTGCCTATATCAAAATTCTCTCAATGGTAATTGCATGTATGATAGTTATTAGTTAATCCATGAGTATGGAATAGACTTATACTCAAAAGTTATAAAATATTGAATGTCCTGCAAGAATTACAGACTAAGATTGATAGTAAAGCTAATGTTTCCTTTCTGTTATACTCAAAACTTACAGTTCCTTTCAAACCATCAGTGTCAGTTTAAGCGATATTGGCTTCTTTTAAAGTTATTTTTGTCCACGCTAATGATATGAGCAACTTCCTCCTTTCAAAGATCAAGTTATACATCCTGATCTTAGTAAAGTCTCTTTCATCCAATATCAAAGCATTAAAGAGATTTGTTGGGATAATCTCATTTGTCTTATTGGTTATTTGATTCTAAGGAACCTATAGTTTGGTTAAATTTTAATTTTCTATGACTATCAAAAATCTCGACTTTTTGGAAATTTTGAAGAGGACATTCGAGCCTTGCCTATTTTGATGCATCACAACTTCAAAAATCAAGGTTGAAGTTTTCATGAAGTCAGGTAGGATGATAAGTTATAAAAAGATATTATTTTGGAAATCTTCATTTGAAAAAGTTTTTGTAGTAATAACATTATTTTTTATTTTAAAGTTATTTAGTTTGTTTACTTTTGTTTAAGCATTATAATATTTTAATTTCCCATTTAAGTGGATTAGGTATCATAAGAACTAGAACATTTTAGATTTTCTCTGTATATTTGGCCATATTATTTATAATTAATGCCTACATGAAGTGTGGTAGCTACCAACAAAACAATATAGACAGTAATGAATTAAGAAATTTTTTTCTTGGAGTTATTATTCTCTCTTATCTCCATCTGTACTCGCTTTTCTAATTATTGTTCTATCTATGTTGTTTAGTCTGTTTCTCCTTATATTTCTTCACCTTGATCTATAATTTCTTATGGCCTATCTTTATTCTGTTTCTTACCTAAACTTCCTTTATTTCTAAACTATCTGCAGGACCAGTTACTTCAATTGCTGCTATTCTGCATCCTTGACCTTTGCTTTCATTTGCAATAACACCGAATTGAGAGATTTTTCTTTTTTGCTAAATCACTTGCTTGAGAGTTGTTCAATATTGAACTCGTGTAACTTGTGAATACTCATTTGACTGAGCATCTAGGAGCAAGCTTGAGATGTTCTTTGCTCCTAGATGCTCAGACTGTTGAACATTTATGCTGTTACTATTTGATTAGTATGCACGTTTTTGACTGACTATGAACAATGTCTTCTTTTTCTCAAATCATGATGATTGGACTCCAAATACCTTGTTCTGGTCTATTTGCCAAACATGGTTACGCAAGCTTGATTAGGATTTAGACATGTCATTTTTTGAGTTTTCCATGCATTAATTTAATTAAAATGTGGATTTTGTTTCCTATAATAAGTGAATAATTATTTTGAAGATTGGTCTTTATCTTGAATATTGATTGCTCGTTGTGTTGCCTTTTCTGGTTGGTTTCTGAATTGGGATATTCATCAAAGTTAGTATTCTTTGGAAGGTCAACCATAAATTTGCTTTGTGTAGGTGGGAATTTTTTGGCTTTAAACATAAAAAAAAACATTGGCTATCATTTTTGAATCATCTTGCTTTATTTTCTTAAGATCCTTTCCTGTTTCTTTCTCTTTTATATTTATATATATATTTAGTTTCCTTAACCCCTTTTAGTTTGTAATAACCCCATTTCTTGAATAATTTTATTTGAAGGTGAATGTTGCTGTCATACACTTCCACCATAGATGAAACACATTAAAATAAACGCGTGCTATTAGAACCTAGTTAACTAGCC